AGAAGACGAATGGCCTTTGGAGAGGAGCCTTCAGCTTTCGAAGTGGAGATCTTCGACCGTGTCCATGAAAGACCTGTTGGAGGAAGGGGAAGAACAAAAAGGTGATACTTAGAAAGAGAGTTCGAGTTAGAGTCCTCGGCCTTCGGAACAACCACCAGCGTCTTGGGTCAAAAATTCTTTGGCCTTCGAGTAAGGAAACTTTGGATGTACCAGTAGAGTTGGAAGAGCCGGCGGTGGAGCCCAATTCGGTGGAGGAACTTCTAGATCGAGTGGTGGCGGAAGTAGAGAAGATTATCGCGGAGCAACATGCAACACCTATTGCTTCAAGCACAGTTGATTTTGACTGTGGCGAAAGTACTTCGGCCGAAGAATCGAAGACAACGGAACTTAGTGTAGCTGATATTTTGAGCGAATAGATAGTTCACTTGCTCAGATTTTTAGATGCAAAGATGGCGAAGTACGCCGAGCCAGAATTAGTAAGATCCTACGTAGAATTAGTGCGTTGTAGGACAAAGACGAAGGCGGCAGTATCTGTGGAGGTAGCAGAAAGAGTGGTGAGCTTAACCTTTGAGTGCACGGCCAAGACAGCTAACTTGCAGGGGCGGAATGAGCAACTTTGGAAGAAGGAGTTTGAGTGTGCAAAACTTTGGAGAAGTTTAGCAGCGAAGAATAACCTTCATGCAAAGTCGGAGCTTGAGTGCAAGGGCCTTTGAGTTGACATCATCAATGCGCAGAAGGTAACTGTGGAACTTCGAGACAAATTAGAATTGTCCCATAAGGAATTTGCAAGGAAATTGAAGCGCGCGGAGGAGCAAACGGCAACTCTGAAGGCAAGAGATCAATGGCATGCGGCTGAATTGGCACTTAAGGCAAAGGAATTGCAGGATTGCGAAGCTATCCGGACTTCGGAGTTAGAGCGTAGAAAGGATTTAGATGCGAATTGCAGCAAATTGCTTTCTCAACTATCGGCAGTTTAGCAGCAGTTGGTCGCGACACAAGAAAAATTGCTGGAGATGGAGTTGACAATCCAGTAGTCGGAGCAGCGGACGGATGTTGCATTGTGCGCGAGGGTAGATCAATGTCTTCGCGGCTATGTGGAATGAGAGATCTAGACCCTGAAGTGGATGAAAATGGATGAGCTGGAGCGTCGAGTGAAGGAATTGGGAGTCAACGGAGTCGTAAGACATCGAAAGTTAGGTAGGAAGCTCAATTCGTTCAACTCCAGTTTGAAAGAGATGAAGTAGAACTGGAAATTAGAACTGTTAGCCGTTTTGAGTAGGATATGAATAGATAGAAGCTCAAAGGACGTGGTAACTCCTGCATCTGCTAACGTCGCAACTGATGAGGGCTCGCAGCTAGCAGGTGATGACTCCAGATGTTTGTTGTGAATTAAGAGGTCCAAGTCTCTACCTTTGGGGGGCTTTTTCATTAGTCAATTTCTCAGTCTTTAGTATGCATTCCTCCGCGCGTTAGTGAATTGTGTGTTTTGTCACCGTGCGCGAGTTGCTTCAGTTTGTCGAAGATACCGCATCTAAAGTAGAGGGTCCAATTCAGATGTTCTGAATGGTGCATAGTGTAGATCAAGATTAAAGCAAATATGTACATTGGAAGCTCAATGCAGCCGGCTTAGTGTGTAATCTTGGTAAATTTTCCCTCTAAATATCAGTTGCAGAGTTGCGTGCGGCTTTTGTGGAGATTTATTTGATGAATTTCAGGATTCGAGTGTGATTTCATCCTGCATTGTGTCACTTCAACCTTAGCAATGGTAGTTTCTTCTTGTAGGGACATGTGCCTAAGAAGTAAAACTTTTCAATAGAATGTCAATTTGTGACACTACTTGGTTCTCCGATGTTGTTTCTATCCTCGTGGTATTGGATCTTTACCACTTTGCTCCATTTTTGTAATTGTTTGTTATTACACTCACTCAACAGCCGAGCTCAACTCCGTGAAAGTTGTCTAAAGCACAAATTGCTGCATTGCAAGAAAGTTCAAGAAAAAACAATGAGAAGAAATGTTCAAAGTTTTGACAAGACAAAAAACAAAAACGTTGTTGAACAAATTACACAAAAAATCTTCTCTTGTTGCCTTAGTGTCGCTACACCTTTATCTGCTCGTCTACCTTCTCATCATTTTGCTTTGATATCAAAATTTACACAACAAAATACAAAAGGAGAATCGCGGTTTGCAAGTTGGCTACGTTGACATCAACACACATGTTATGTTGGGGGACAAGCAAATCTTTACTCTTTAGTCAAAGCATATAGTCAAAATTTGATTGACAAATTTTACATTAATTAAACTGCGCATAGTCTTGTGAATCTATCCATGTTGCTCACCTATGAGTTAGTCATAATTATTATTTAGAGGAACTTCAAAAGCCTAACCATCTATTTCAGTCTTGTAAAACTGTCAATATCCTTCAATTCAACAAAAACCTAGTAACTGATTGGAAGTATTCCGATTGATTGTTCTTTGAATTTCACAATTCTCATCAAATGGTCATTATGAATTTATCAATTGGAAGATCTGCAGACTGCAACCGTACAAAATATTGAAAGAAGCGTAACTCGCTTGATATTACAATCTTCACATCAAATCTCTCCACTCTCTTGGTTGGGAACTAACTCACACCTGAAGTGATTTTTGAGTGTAAACATGTAATTGTGTTTTGTTATATTAATACTATGAAAAATAAATTCTTTCCCTATAGATTTTACAACATTATATATCAATCTAATTCAAATCACCATCCCATTGCTTCTAGAAGAATTATATCATATGATCAAAGATATGGCTTGAAGTTGCAAATCATCTTTCATCATACTAATGGGCATGATATAACAAAGACATTAGAACCCATTGTGTTATTATGATCACTCATAGCTCGAACAAGTACTAGTGATAAATTTTGAATTTGAACTTGAGAGAATGTGGCTATAGTAGAGAGTAGAAAGTGCATGAACATGGAATCTTTGAATCACAAAGCGATTTGGTGCTTTAATGTAAAATGATATTTTATGTTGTGATGGTTCCGGCCAGATCTTGGTGTACATTTTGAAAGTAGAGAAGATCGATTTGTTGAACTAAATGTAATCAATAGCTATTTCATTTAGATACATTCATCAAAAACATCATTGCTAAGTTTTTAACTTTTGAGTAGACAAAAAATTTTTATTTTGAGATAAAAACGTCGCCTCTGCACTGCGTTTGTCATTAATCACTGAAGTACGTGCTGGCTTTCAGGTCTGTTCTTTTTTATGGAGGCTCTTTCACAATATTCACACTCGGGTTGTAAACACAATAGTTGTAATCCCAAAAGACTCTTTGATCCAATCCCTTAGAGTCATCTCTATCATACATGATTGTTCCATAATATGTGAGGCGTGGAAACATTTTCTTTACGTTTTATTCCTCCTCAAGTCAACTTCATGTTCATGGGGGATATCAACAAGTACTCATCTGTGCGCATTTCATGCTAGATTTTTTTGTGATAAAAATCAAACTCAATAGCGTGCATCCTAATACCACTTGTGTTTGAAATCCAATCCTCATCCACGCATTCCGATATAGTGAGTGAAACCATGTATAATATACCAATTTAAATCCCTTAGTCTTGATGCAACCAAATTAGCTTAATCATATTCCTCACAAATATGGAAGCTGGAAAAAAAATCCCAAACTCCAGAGTAATATTTGTGAAACTATGATCCACATATTTGCTACGTACATCAATCCTAAAGCATGTGCCAATCAAACACGTGAAACAGCTGACCATGGAGCAGGTGAAGCAACTCAGAGTTAATAAGTTACAAGACTGGACTTTATTATTCAGTAAAAGCGTCAAAACATTATGACAATTTCACAGTCGTGCCAGTACTCTAGTCTGACCTGCACAGTTCAGCGCAGATTGAAAATAGTCTTCATAAGTGAAACTTAATCATAGAACTGTGGCCATACTTGAAGAAAGCTTGAAGGAGAATCCTCCCTTGCAGACTAGTCCAAAAGAATGATGGGACAAAGTAAGCAGTAGTTCCCATTAAGTAATGAAAAATTCCAGCAAAAAGTAGGAGGTGTTAAATACTATGATGATAGTCTTCCACAGACGACTCCTGTGACTAAGTTCGCATACCTTGCTTATAATGAGGTCTTATGTTCATCAAAAAACTAGACAAATTGAAAGTACGAGATCCATACTTTGAAGAAGTTGAGCAGCATTCTAGTGAACAATTTCGACACCCATCATTCGTCTTCTCCACACTTAACACTTGAATATAATCTCCGTAGGAATTCTACGAATAAATTGGACACGCAGTACTGAGACGTATTGAACACTCCCTGCATCACCTTGTAGTTCTATAGAATACAATTATTATAAACACGTAGAAAATGGCTAAAATGTACGGTAAGAAAAACAACACCAACAGCTACGTATAGTTTGAATTTGATCTGCTTTCAACAACAAGCATATGCTGATAAATAAGGCCCACCACCACCACCACATGGAACAACGAGTTCTTCAGTGACGAGGAGGATAGAAGGGGCGTATGAATATACAAACGTATACTATGAACATTGTCATACAAGGCAGCGCGAGAGTATTTCACTATTTCGAGCAGAAATAGGAACTGGAGATGTAAATATGCTATGTATCCAAAGTGGAACCAAAGATGTACTCCGTATTGCAATAAGCATATGCAATCTTAACAAAAGAGCGCGAGATATGTAGAATGCAAGGGTCTGCATTAAGGTATGCAATACTATATCCCCAAACGTATATAAAAATAGTAAGTAATATACTAAGTTACTCTATAAGACAGATGTTTCCACCCATGAGCATGTTAATACTACTACTCCAGACTGCCCATTTTCAGAGTAGAATGTCTACAAAACTTACAAACATGTACTCAAGTCTACAAGGTATGTACGTTAAAAAGTTAGTAGATAGTTTAACCCTAAACAACCTCAAAGTTACACTTTGAAACAAGTTCCCTTCAAACCAGCAGGCATCTTGGAAAATTATCAAAAAAATTCGAGTAACTGAATTTTAATTATGTACATCACTGGACAAAGTGTTGATCATTCAGTTAGTGAAAAATTACAGTTCGACCCAGGGAGGGTAGCCTGCGCACACGACTGATGAAGTTAACCCGTTCCAAGGTGGGGCAAGAGAGGGTAGTCGCCCCCACTACCATCCTTCGTTGAGGAAAACTTTGCAAATCCAGTTCAGAACGAAGACATCATCATGATTTGGCAGAATGCCAAGAAACTTTGTCTCCAACTAGGCTAAAGTCTTATAGTATTCCACGTCTCCAATTTTTCGTAATAATTTATCAACGGCTTCCAAGGACTGGTCTTGATGGTTACCTGCTGCCCCTTCCCGCTTGAAGTCCTGGATTCCTCCCTGGGACCTTGCATATGCACAATCGTAAATACCGTGAAGAACGGCGGCTAGGGCATTCACCAACCATTCAATGACTTCAAATCATACATGAAGGATGGCCACATTCAGATGATATGTACCTTTCACACACACGTAAAGTGTGTTATTCGAGATGTAATGAAACGTTATCATTTTGTTACATTGCCAATGCCCAACGAGCTTTCAAACTTCAAGTGACGAGTACATGAAGCAAATTCTGTGCAGGAGAATTTACAAACGCATCTTCCGGGCTCGTGAGTGCCAAACCGTTCCAAGAAACAAATTTGAGCCGAGAATTACCTACCAAAACTGCTTTCTAAATGAAATTTTCTAGTCGAGCTCCTCTCCGAAAGAAGGCTCAAGGATGTGTACAACCTTTATGGTAGGTTAGCCCAAGAATACAGGGGTGGGTGAATTACAATGGACAGATAAATGATTACGGAGGACTAGGTTCCGCAACTGAAGAACTGATAGTGTTACTGGCAGGTATTACCGGGGCTGGGCTGCTGGGAGAAACGGCACTTGTTTGCGAGGTACCACTAGTCGGAGGAGATTTCATAGGTACAGCAGGAGTAGTCGCTGCTGCACTACCTGCATGTGATTGCCGGGGCTGTTCCCAGGAAGAACAAATTAGATTTTTCCCACCAAGTTTTAGCACTTAAACCAGAAAATGTATTCAATTCAAGATGAATGTGGGTTAAAAACAACGAAGCAAGCTTGAAATCATGAGATCAACTTTCCTTGAAAAAATATAAATGTAAAACGTGTCTAATTTCTAACAAGAATACGTAAATATTGCATTGTTGTTCTACTTTCCTCGGCAGATTTGTTGCGTGTTTTTGACAAATGGGACTACCTACATACAGAGAACATCCAGGCGGTTTGACCACACAAGCTGTGAAGCTAGAGCTTACTACGTTTGGCATGTAATTACCTGCACAGAAAACATGTGCATGGAGTTTGAAATTGCTGTAGAATGACCCGATAGAGAGCTTGAATTTGCTTGATAGGCCATAGATCCAGACGAGGAAACACCTGCGACAGTGTTCGTTCCCAAAGCAGAGACTGGCATCATTCCAGCTGAAGATGCAGGAACAGGAGACCTCACTTGTTGCGTGGCACCAATGGCAGGAGAGGCAGGTAAGTTCCCATGATGTTGTATTGAACGCTGAGTCCCACCTTGCAATGTAGTTGATACACCCCTCGGGTTGGATCCAGTAACCAGACCCATCTTTAATCCATGACCACCAGAACCTACTTGCAAAGGTTGTGAAAGACTACCAACAATGACTCCATGGGGGGGACCAGAACCAGTTATTGACATTCCACTGTTTCCGTTAGAAGAAGCCAAGTGCATTCCTGATGAGCTAACAATAGAAGGCAGTTGAGCTGCGCCTGGGCTCCCGCTCCTACTTAGATTATAAAATCCAGAGGACATGGGAGAAACTACTTGTCCAGGTTTCCACGGCGTGGAGTGCACCCCACTGGAACTTGGGCTACCAGATGAGGATAATCCCGAAGCACCAGAACTTGCACTCATCATGCTCATAGGCACAGCCATGCTTGATCCTTGTGTGTAAGTAACATGTCCAGGCTGAGAAGACATTTGTGCAGGAACCTGACCTTGTTGAGTTGAAGAGCCATTCTTACCCAGGACACCTATCATAGGTGCACCAACACTTGCAACTGGTTGTCGTTGTTGAATTCTTCTTTGCGCAGACTGGATCTGTGCTTGTTGGGACGGTCGACGTTGTTGAACCTGCAACTGCTGCGAGGAACCAATTTGTGGTTGCTGTGCTGCTGGTGGCGATGTCTGTTGTTGCTGCGTTGGAAGGGGAGGTGCAGGTGACTGCTGCTGAGATGGCAGGGCACTTGGTAATGGAGACGGTTGCAACTGCTTGGATGGCATAGTACCCAGTTGAGTTGGCTGCTGAGACACAACCTTCTGCGACCCACCGAGAGATCCTTGTGGGACAGGCCCGGCCATTGACTGATTTTGCTGAGCTTGCATATGGGCTGATTGGCCTGTCATAACCTGCGTCGACGTTTGAGAAAGTGGCTTTGCCAAAGGCATCAAGTGCCTCTGCCCTTGCATTGAATGGGCTATTTGCTGCCCTGCCACTTGTTGGGGCTGACTTCCGGCAGATACATTACCAGGTAGCATACTTGACTGCCCAGAGCCTGGTAGTGCCTGAACTAGCATGTTTCCTCGAACAACTCCCTTAGAACCTCTTGGTGGCTGCTGCTGCACCACTTGTGAAGCCTGCTGCAGATGCGGATGCTTCTGTGCCTGCTTGGGTGGTTGTAACTTCGACTGTACAGGAAGTTGTTGAACCTGGCCCAAGGGTGGTGCTTGTTGTTGAGGCTGTAATAATGTTTGATGTTGTTGATGATTTGATTGCATTGAGGGAATTGTCGTAGGTTGCAGAGATGGTGATGAAAGAGTACCAGTCTGTTGAGGGCCTTGCTGCGATTGCTGCTTTTGGAGGTTGTGTTGCTGTGAACTTAGCAGGTGCTGTTGTTGGGACAAGTGTGATTGTTGGGGAAGAACATGTTGCTGAGACATTCCGTGCATCTGCTGTTGTTGCATCTGCGTCTGCAATTGTGGTTGCAGAGAAGATGGTTGCTGAGGTTGCTGAAGTTGTTGCTGAAGCAATCTCTGTTTTTGTTGCTGCTGCATTTGTCGCTCTTTAGCCATTCGAGCAGCTAAGTACTGCTGCTGCTGCTGCTGCTGTTGATGGTTTTGATGCTGCAGCTGTTGAAACGGTTGGGCTTGAACAGCCATCATTTCCCTCGTCACCTCACTTCCAAGGCTGCTTAAGGCCGTTGCAGCTTGAGTATTTCCCTGAGCAGCTTGATGCTTGAGCTCTTCGATGAATCTCCTTTGATCTTCATTAGACCGACCCGGCTGTAAAGGTCATGAAAGAAAGAATCAAATTTCAGATACTCCTATAATACAACAGGGTTGGGATAACGGCCACATGAATGAGTAAAATATGCAAGAGGTTATCATTTACTTAAGCATCGAATACGTCCTCGTGGTTATCCTCAAGGGCGTTCAGACTAGATAGTTACCCTGACTAGCTGCTGCTCTCGGGATCGTCTTATAAGGTTGACTTGCTGAGGAACAACTGTCGGGCCCACGGTTGGACCTGCACTGACGATACCGACTCCTCCCGTTGATAACACGCTGCCAAGAGGAGGTGGACCGATACCAGGAACACCTGGTGAGCCCATCCCTGGAAGACCAGGTCTAGACAAGGACATACCTCTACTAATTCCACCCATCATTCCGATATTGTTGTTACCTGAACCCAACAAAGGAACAGGACAGTCACTGGGACTCGGTAAACCCATCATAGGCAGGCCAGCAGTTACGGTTGGTCCAGAGACCGAAAGACCACGCGCAGCAGCCATCGCACGATGATATCGTACACGTTGCGCATCTTCAGGAGAAAAAGGTCGTATGGCAGCCAAACGATGTACATCCCTGTATACAGCAGCATCCCTGTAATCCCGTGAAAACTCAGAATATGAGGTGGCAAAGACTGCCATCACCGACTCCGACCACTACTCATACTGCCTTTTGCTTTATATTGTCCAAATGAATCAGTTCTCGATGTCTCTTTACAAGAAATGAAAGTTCACCACGCAGCTTTGGCGGCAAGCTGGTCAAGAGAAGAAAAACAGAATAACAGAATTGGAAAGCTCACCTTGCAGCACTAGCAGCAGTAGTTGAGGGTGCCACAGCAGGTACTCCCATGTGGAGATTACTTGCGCTAGGAAGGACTGGTAGCCCATTGGTAGCAGGACGTATTCCAGAACCTGCTGCCAAAACACCTGGAAGATGTTGCCCTGGCAGCTGATATGCTGGACCACCTAATTCTGGAGCAGCCGCAGTTATCTCACAGAGATCGGAGGGACTATATTCAACAGACGTTAAGACACAGAGTGAGCGATTGATCTCGAAAAGTTTTTCCAAAAGTCAACTTGCACATCATGTAATTGTAATAAAATAAACAACCCCAGACTTGCAGAAACTTTTGTCTTAGCTAGTTCTGTCTTTTACTTACGTCGGATAACCATTCGCGCAAAACTGAGTAATTGCATTCAAGTGAGATGCATGAGGTTGGACAAGTAGTTTTTGCTCCTCAGTCTGTCAAAAACATAGAAATAAGTTTGTCCATCGAAGGCAAAAGAAAATGAGGTTCAGACTGTGTACTTTAAACACAATTCTCAAAAGCGGAAACAACAGAATTTATCAGGTAAATATAACAATAATCAAGGTGTGAATCAATATCACTAGACAGCTTCCTACTGACGGTTTCTTCTAAACTCCTTACCGGTGGTTTAAGAGCACGGAACTTGTGTACAACGCGCACTATGTGCTCAAGGTGCACTTTGAGTGTATCTTCCTCCATTGGACCTTGTATACGCTGTAACAAAACCCTCGCACTTCCCTGTATGACGTAAAGACAAACTCAGCAAGAAATAAGAATTGTGAAGAACATGACCGGATTAAATCTGAACCATCATCTTCACGTTGAAGGAGAAACAAGAAAGATACAACAGATAGCGAGGTGCTGAGCTCACGGAACCAGCCAATTGTACTCGGCGGTTAGAAAGACAAGAAGGGACCTCAAAACATAGCTGCGTCCTTTGCTCAAGAAACCACCCAAATGCTTAGAGAAGCATATAGGACCTCACCTTTGGAATTCCAGGAAGAGTAGAAGGGTGAGGTTGAGAAGTGCTTGGATCTTCTGGACTATCACCACCTTCTCCGACAGACATTCGATCCAAGAGAGACTTGTATCGTTCTTTACACTGCTTTGGTTTGCGAAATATACCCTGTTGATCAACGATGGCCATTGCATTTCATAAAGACATGTCGACATCGAAGAAATTGATCAGCACCAAAACAGAGAAAGCCTTCTGAATAAGTTCTGGTTGACTACTTCAAGGTCATTCCGTCCATTCGTCCAAGGAGGTCAACATGGTTCATTACGCACGACGTACCTTCAACTGAGAGCTGGAGCTGAGAACATCACTGACTAGTTCCCAATTCGGTCCAAGATCATGGACAAGGGCAAAAATAGCCTGAAAATGGAAATATTGCTCGAGAAAATTAGCTCCTCTATTTCTGACTTGATTCTGATGAAGTTTGCAGACATTGTCTTCGCGATCATCTCCCAGATTTCTAGATCAACCTACGACGACCTTCCTTTGAACACTCTAACTTGCAAACCACATGCTCAAGTTAACAGCAACAAAAGGACGACTAAACTGAGACAACTATCAAGATCTCAGCTGAGTGTGTTATTCCCCTGAATATTCGAGCATTAAAACAAACCTGATCTTCAATGGTTGACCAAGGAATACCGATTCCCGCTGGCTGAGTTAAGGGAACCTGGAACAGACAATTCTAAAACTCAGCAATATAAAGGAGAATAACTGTAAGTAATCCCAAAAACACAAACAGGAAAAAAGAAATTACTTGTCTTCGATTAGGCAATAAATTCTAACCCCTATGCACTTCACACTTCATCATTTACGATCAATTCAAAGAACGGATTCAGCCTAAAGGTTGTGAACTCTTGCTACTTTGAAAAAATACAAAGGTAAAATTTTCAATTATCTGCGCCTTGCGAGAAAATGAAAATAAAATGGGTTAAAGGTTGAATCTAATGCTTTGTACTTGATGCATGCTCTCGCTAGAACTTTTGGACAGTGTATGATTTCTTTAACAACATAGCTAAATCAAGCAACAACCATGCTAGGTCTGATCACATATTTATACGTTATAAGATTTTAGCACACAATAAAGACCACCTCTATGAAACTCTACCTTGGTAGACTTGGTTTTTCTGTTGCGATCTCGGTTGCTATTTTGTCGTAAAAGTTTACTTGTGGAAGATGTATTAGCGACCAACGATCCTGACTGTGTTGCTGCAGTACTGATGGCAGCTGCAGCGGCTTCAGGATTGAGATCAGAAGCTTGTTTTGAAACTTTCGCTTTCTTTGATGGCTGCTGCCCTTGTGAACTGGGCGTTTCAGGTGTGTCTGCTGAAGATCCTGCACAACGGGAAGTCACACAATCAATTCTAGCGTTCTTTTCAGGATATACTGCATGTATGTAACTCGCATCATCCATCGCAAATTTAATCTCAGAAGACGAAGATGCGTTGACTACATTCAGTTTGATCATACCAAAACATCTAAATCATGATTTCGACAGTGAAGACTCAAGTGAACGAAAGATCAGTATCAACCCCATGATAATCCTCCACAATCACTTCAATAATAGTAAATAGTGAAATGAGTGGTCAAGTCCAGAATAGATCCTCTCTCCAGTTATAAATGGACAACATGCAAACCACCAAGTATACGACACAAACTTGAACTCCGCGTAAAGTGTGAAACTAAGTGACAAAACATACCAATTCCTCCAGTATCCAGCTCAACGGACGCCGCATTAACTTGATCACCTTTCCGCTTCAACTGAACACAACAATATCAAGCAATTTTGAAGACTAACAAAAAAACTAGGAGACTCAAGTTGGGGATGGTACACAGAAGGCCAGAAGATAATGCATCCATGAGAGCCACTGCAAAGAGTGGATGGTTTCAAGAGAATAGTAGATGGCAACATTGTAAGAGAATCACGTATTGACCAAAACTGTATTTTAGTCACGACCAGAGGCAGCTTATTATACTCTAGTACCTACTCTTCCCAACCACATCAGAAATTTACTGATAATTGTAAAGGGGCTTGGAAAGAGATCCCCAACAATCAAGCAGATACTTCATGCAACCATGTCGAAATGTTAGGGCAGTCTCCAAGACAAAACCAACCTGATCAAAAACCGACCGGTGTTCTGCTTCAGGCGTCTGCTGAACATAAAGCCAAACACATTAGTAGCATGAAGTAGTGTTGTCAAGGAGTCCTATCGTTGTAAGTGTAGCAGAGATTCCACACGGAGAAATATGATACACTGATAGACAAAGACTAGTAGATAAGAAGCCCATTTGACGTACTTTGGTAGAGGAAGCTGTATTCACTGAAGGAGCTCCATCTCCTTTAACAGCATTGACAGAACTCAATTGCCCACTGAAATGCTTTGTCTTTTTTTTCTTCTTTGATTTTGAATTCACAAAAGAGTTGTTACACCCAGCTCCTAATCCGTTTTTCACGCTAACTGTAGTTGCATCTGCTTCAATTCTTGTGGCAGTGTCATCACACAAGTTGCGTACTTCATCTTGATGAGAATTCAACGCTCCGGACGAAAATATTGTCCTTTGTAAAAGACCGCCTGGACTGGGAAAAGAATTCGGACTAGCTGTTCCCATAACACGCTGTCGAGCACTAGAGACCGAGCGCATACGCTTGGTTGGAATGCTTCCAACATTTCCAACTATATTCCCAGGACCAACTGATAGAGATCTTTTACCGGTAACAAGAGGAGATTGTACCACAGCGGTGCTATCAAGACCGGGTGCTATTGGAGGACGATGTGTGGGCCCTGACGATGATATACCTTCACCTTTGGATGCATTCGACTTAAGAATATTCTTGCGTTTTTTCTTCGCTATACTACTTAAAGCATTGGGCAAAAACTGCCCTCCAAGTTCGTCTTCCTCTGCCCTTAATCCCTTCATCGGAGAAGACAAGACTGATAGAGGTTGACCTTCCCCCACAGATAACGACACATTGAAGTCCGCGTTAGCTGCAGCCTCAGCAACTGCTTCTGCATCAGCGATCGCAGCTGCGTGATCGTGTAGGGTCTGCTCATGCTCCTACAATAAACAAAAAAAGAAACATCGAGTGATGTTTAAATGAACACCTTCGTGCGGATCCAAGACATTGCTCGAATTTGGAAATCATGAACACCAAGTAACAACTTCAGCATATAACTGATCAATGTCGAGAAGAATGATAAAGCCCACGGAAAGCTTACGATCTCAAGTGAAGACCTCTCTGTCTCAATCAGTATTCTATATGCTCGCGAAGCACCATCTGGAACCAGATAAAACAACGGTTCCTGAACCCAAAAAAACCAACCAAAGGAGCAGGTTATCAGGAGATTACATGCAGTTCAATATTCAACTTGAGCATTAATGATTGTACTGTTATACTGCCATTGTTCACCATAACCACCAGGAGTATGGACTCTTCACCATAACCAAACTTGCAACCAAATGATAAGGACTTACAAGCATGGATGAGGTCGCATATAATCCAAACATACCTCGGGAAATTGATCTTCCCATAATGGGTCTAAGACGCTGTTAGCTTCTGAGATTCGCTCAGGTGTGCAAGGAGCTTCTGCCTGTGCTCCAACATCACTCCCCATCGATTCCTTAAGAAAACGGATTGCGTAATTTTGAACAGGAAGAGGTTTCCTGCTTCTGGACGGAAGTTTCTCCACTCGCTGTGTTGATCCCTGCATATGAGATGATTCTCGGTTAAAAATCCGAGGAATGGAGGCCACTTGACCCAATTAAGTAACTAGAAGAGATAGTGGAGTTGCATATTTTTCTGTCTTACTGTATGGCTTCGGCAAATATTTGAAGCTAGCCAGCTGAAGTGGTGACGGGACTAATACAAGAGCACTTGAAAAAGCTCGAAACAACAAAATCTGATGAGGATGATGAAAACTCCATACTTAATTTATCTCAGATAGTTATCACTAGGGTAAACAACCTGGAAACACCAACCAGCTCTTATCGATCATTTGAAAACTTACCACGATACTCCCAGTAAAAGGGCTCTGGCCCGATGCTAGTGAAGCAGCTATCAGAAATGTGTGAGCAAACCCTAAAGCGATCTGTCTTGATATCTATGAAGCTAAAGATAACACTTTTCAATCCTGTGTTGGTTGTTTCACCAAGCTAAAAGACATGCTTACCATTCTGTTAATACAGAATACGTCCAATCTATCTATTCCGCCGTCGCCAAAGCGAAAAGTATTGCATTGAGTTTACCCATTTCAGAAACAGAGTTTAAGGAATCATGGTAATGGCTGATGTCTCAGTCAATCACAAATCGCCGAGGGTTGCAAAAGGTGATGCTTCACGAAGAGAGAGCTTAATTCAACAAATCCAATCATGGATTGCTGGAAGCCTTAGACTACCAATATGGTGCTAAAAACTTATACAATACGGAAGATACTCGCTTATGTTTTATGGCTTACTACCCAAATACAGCCTTCTAATGCCGAAAATATATACCAAAAATCAGGTTTCAAACGCAAGAATCTTCAAAACTTGCGCCAAATGAAAATATATGACACGTTGAACTAAATAAATCTGAACCCTATTTTTTGGAACTATTTTTTGGGGAAAATGATGCGTACTATTGATGCATATTACAGTAGCCTCCCGTTCAAACGGGAGGCTACTGTAATATGAGATACGTCATACATCACATACAATTTCCGCACCGATATACAAATACCAGTAGCATCTGATGTCGCATTACTTCATGTTCTTGCTATCAAACTATTATTAGCTATATTATTGATATTACCAAACCAATGAAAACATGATGATTACAATGTTATTATGTAAATTACAAGATTGTTATCTAAATACTACCCCGTGGAGGCATTCATTCAGATATATCCATATAAATCCTAAACGGATTACCTTTCATATACCCAGACCTTTGAATGAGAAGCATAGAGATCAGAGAGAGTAAAAATAAAATCTTCAACCAAGGGAAAAAAGGATTTCAATTTCGCCTATCTGTTCAAACTATCAAACAATTATGTTGGAAAAAGTTCCAACATAATGGGTTAAGCAATATACAAAGGGGAATGTTAAACGATCACATCCAATGTTAAAACTACCACGGACGAGTCTCCTGTCAAAAATTGATATTTCGCACACAAGCCCAAGTATCATCTCCAAGCATATTTTTGTTACATATTGCTGCATATATGCAGAAGACACAATCAAACTTCTACGTACACACTTCAAGAACAATGACTATTGACTACTGACTGAAACTATTGCAATGATCCCTGTGAGATAACAACTCTGAAGGTGTTTTTTGCACAGGAAGGAGGGGGAAGTCAAAAACACACTCGCAGCTGATATTTGAGCTTTTATGCGAAAAAAATTGTTTTTGACAAATCATGTGAACAATTTATGTGGTTGTTTTAACATTCCCCTATATAAAATATAAGCAGATTTCATATACAAAGCAGAGATTTCAAAGATTGGTCTGAAACAAAATATTATCCGTTAGTTGCGAAGCCTACATTTTGAAGCGTACATATTCATTCACCACGATTAAATATGTTCAACAAAGCATCTATAAGTATTGAGAAGTTTAAAAAAAAATTTGATCGCTAAAGATAAGAAAACCATAAGATATAACCCATTACTTTGATACTGTCTATGGTAAGAAATGACATAATCAATTGATACCATCAGCAAATAAAAACTTGATAGAAAATTGAGGTGAAATTTGAGAAATATTTAATTTTGTAAATGCATTAAAAGCATTGCATCTCAATCGACCCATGGTGATTTACAAATACGTATATTGACTGTATCTTGAACAGTATATATATTCATTTATAATTCACTATGGATCTTATGCAATTCACTATGGGACTCAATATTACAATCCCTATCAATTGTCAAGAAAATTAACAATTACTTCAATCCCAAACACAAAACAGAAGAATTGGATACTCAGTCTAGTTGTTAATGGTAATTTAAGCACAATTGTAATGAAGAATGTAAATGTACTACTCCAAAACCAAGGATGAAAATACTGCAATATTGTGCAAACTAAGAACTTAACAACATCATTAATCTACACACCCCTAGCAAAACTAGCATCACAAAACAAGGAGGGAGAGAGCGAGCGAGCCAGGGAAGATTAAAAGCTATAATACAAGAATAGGATCGGAGGAAGAGAAATCACAGAATCCTAAGCCATGATGCCAACATAGGAAGAAACTCAGCAAACAGACGGGATGCTCTCAGAAAAGATGTTCTAAGAGACGAACATATCAAGAATACACACAGTTGATTCGAGAAAGAAATCAGAGCAGAGGCAACGGCGCCAGGGAGATTTCGAGCCAAGCTTTTCCATTTCCACTCTTCGTTTCTTTTCCCAATCATCGCAGCATCCTATACTATACTGAGTGCACACCCCCGCACTGGCACCTTATGGAGTCAAGAGTGACCGCAGGGAACTCAGACAAACGACCCAGCGACAGACACAGACTTGAGTGATAATCATCATTATCATCAACATCACAGGAAAGTGGTCAGTACAGAGCTAGACGCTCACCAGTGATCGAAATGAAGCTCAAGAAGCCCCGCGAGGATCTCCGTTCGAGCTGGAAAAACTTCCCCCACCGTCCACATATAAAACTACGCGCAGCCTAACTCGCGACCTTACTCCGGACGGATTTTCAAGATGCAGCAGCGGCAGGAGAAGGAGAGGAAGAGGAAGAAGATGAAGAGGATGACGGAACGGAGCAGAGGGAGGAGCAGAGAAGAACAGAGCAGTGGAAAGGAAGAAACCTTCTGACAGGAACACCGCACCCACTCTGGTCTGATCCTGTCTCGTGCTCGCCTGGCGCCCCCACTCACTCCACCCACAAGAGGAAAGAGGCGAGGGGTGCTACGGACAGGAATCGAAGGGAAGGGGAGCGAGAGGAGCGAGAGGGACCGAACAGTAAATTAGCGAATATTTAAAGTATGGTTGAATTTCAAACCAAAAAAAATTGTTGGGATTAGTTTCAACCGCAGTCAATAGTATGCAATATCTAGTATCATGCAAGAAAAAGCCTGTTGTTTAGTGCTCACTGATGTTGTTTAGTGCTAACTGTTTGTTCAGCAAGTGAACAAACAGTTCTTCAGAAAACTCTACCGTGTCACTCCTAGTGACGGTAGAGTTTTCTGAAATATTAGTCAGATTTCCAAAAAAAATATTATAGTCAGATTTCCAAGAACCATTCCCTATGAATCATTTTTTCAAATCAAGAATCTAATGGAAAAGATTATTATAAAGTCATCATTCTATTCCCATGCATCCAGATTTTTATGTGAAAAATCTATATGTTGTTGATGTGCTGCACCAGCTAGAGCAGTGCAGGCACAACCAATAGTTACATGTGCCGACTCGAAGAAGCTGTTGAACTCCCCAGTAACATCACTTATTTCAAGATCCCCAAAGTATATAATGCTTTGCATCTAGATTTTTATGTGAAAAATGTATACATGAATCTATCGACAGTATGCCACGGGATCACTCTGTTGTTGATGTGTTGCACCAGCTAGAGCAGGATATAATGCTTATCATCCAGATTTTTATGTGAAAAATGTATAGATGAATCTATCGACAGTATGCCACGGGATCACTCTGATGTTCATGTGCTTCACCAGCTAGAGCAGTGCAGGCACAACCAATAGTTACATGTGCGGACTCGAAGAAGGAGTTGAACTCCCCAAGAACATCACTTATTTCAAGATACCCAAAGGATATAATGCTTTGCACTCAATCTCGATGACTAATATCTACTGAATTTACTACATACCATTCCCATTTGCAACCATTACAATTCTATCTTTCAGCCAGTCTTTTCCAAATCTGAGTAGGATACTGTGTTCTAGTCTAACTACGTTACTTTAAAGGTTTAGATCGTTGAGATGTAACATGCAAGAGAATCAATGATCACAAATGCCAGCTAGGGTAAACAAACCATGACTACATTTTATTGCATACACATAAAAACAAGGAGATGAAAATGAGATAAATAGTAGGAACTATTTAATTGTCGACATGATAGGTCTCTTACAAGAGTGACCGGCATCAATGAAATTGTAACTGAAAGCTTACTATTCCATTCACTAATATAAACTTAAGTCTTCAAAGTAGCTTTGAGAAAGTTGGAAAGTTAAGGTGGAGAAGAAAACCACATCATCATTATGGGAGGATAGATTTCATTTATGTAAAAAATTAGATCTTATCTAGTTAATAAAAATATAATTATGCGCGTGAATCAAAATGAAAAATGCAGTACAAGAGAGTGTTTCTCCATACCTACTAAACCAAGTGCTTATTGTCATATGTACACAAGAGAAACGAAGAGAGAAGAGAGAGGTTTACACTCTCGGTACATCGTTGGACTTGATGAAATTTATATATTGATATATTTATATTGGTGATTGTTAAATTCATCACCCAAGTTCTCACACGTTGCATCTCTCTTCTGAATTTAGTCAGTATCTCTTTTAAATTTGATCAGGGTCACATCCAAGGGCAGATTCAGCTCTAAGATCCAGCACGATACTTTCGGACAATAAACCATGCAGCAGCCGATTCCGTTATTTCCTCCATATGCATATCAAGAATCACCACAGAAAGCAGCTTGTGCACAGTGGAGAAAAAGAAAATGAGAAAGAGAGTCCGAAACCAATCCTCGACGCGACGAGAAGAAACAATAATTTCTGACATGTCTTGTTGCCATGAAAAGTGACGGGGTGAATTTAACAACTCGGGGTGAATTTAACATCCCTTTTTTATATCAAGTATGTTAAATTTGAAAGATAACTAGAGCACAAATATGATTTTGTCTACATAGAGGTATTACAATCTTCTTTATTTATAAGTTGGAATTCTAAAAATTACAATCTTCTTTACTTCTAAGTTGGACTTCTAGGAAGTATTGGTATGCGCAGATATAAGGGTGGTAAACTTGTGTGTTTTAGTAGTTGGATCTAGTTATATCTGAAAATACAGTTTTTTATCGTATTGAAAACAAAATTTGTACAACTCGCAATATAAAAGTCGAGAGAGAGTGATATATATATATGATCTTCAAACTCAGAACATAGTCAACCTCCAGGTTTGCTATTAGCTTATCTCACGCAAAACTCGACTGGAATTCCATGTAGTGCACACAGTGTATTCCAAATGAGAAGTAATAATTCAATATAAGGATTGTATAATCAGCCCAAAAGCAGAGAATTCTTGCAGCTCTCTAGAATAAAGAATGCTCGAAGGATGAATTATTGCAGCACTCTACAATTTGTGTTTATCTCGTATATCTGGCTGCATGGATTACTGCATCGATGACACGACATGATCTTGTGTCTGTTTTTGATGGGAGGATTACATGAATGTAAATGTCAAATTGGTATATTTAACTAACTTAAATCCAAGAAGGAATAATAAAATACCTATATCTACACGCGCAGTTTTTCCTACCATAATATTGGGAGTTAATTATCATTGAACAAAAATAGGTTGAATTAAATTTTGTTTTCTAGGACCACCAAATTCAACACATAAAGTCATTATAAATACCAAACAAATACCCATCATAACATTCTGGTTCGAGTTGGATACATGGGGTCTAGAAATACACCTACAAACGCGAAAATGTAAACGAATCCTACCGCGACAATTTCCGCACGATTACTACTGATTACTACTGAATCATCATACCAGTCATGATCATGACGAATATTATGACATTCACCATAAGACATATTGATCAATCCATTCTATCAGTTTCAATATTGTGATATGATCTACCAAGCACTTTACAGCAAAGTTGTATATGAGAATTGTAACAACTAGTCAACTATAGAAGATAGGAAGGAAGAGCGGGACATTCTAGCAAGAAAAAGGTATGAACCAAGATCTCAATATCTAAAAAAAACAACACCTCAGTCAACATCTCATATTAATTCCATCAAGGGAAGGTTAATCTCATATCCAGACCTTACCTCCAATGTCTTCAGGTTAGATGAATCTAACCGACCTTTTTACACTACCTTTCTACAATTTCTGTAAAGATTCATCCAACCGAATCTGACCAAGTTCAACCAAAAATTCAGAATAACAAACAGACCACGATAACGATCACACAATACTAAAATATTCCACAAGTATCAATATGACCACCACCGACACTAAACACTGTTTTTGCCTAAACTATGAATTATAGCGAATTAAAATAAGCGACTTTGATGAATTCCAATCCTTCACATAACATGATTGAAAGGCCAATATAGTGTTCAAAATTTCCTACAACATATACAGCCATATCTTTATTTAGTCAAGTTAAACTATATTCTACATTCAAACAAACAAGTGATCGATCAGAAGTTTAATATAAGACATTTTTTTATTAAAAATCAAAATGAAGCAACAAGAAGCTCACAATACTTGACCAAACCAGACCACAAACAACCACACTCAATAACAGAAGGATTCAATATATCACCGGATGACTCGAGTACTTAGGTGGAAGAAAGTTGCATTGATTGCTCTTAGTACGGATTCATGAAGTTGACTATAAGAGTGATCAATGTAATGCTGAACACGAAAATAATCAAACTTGTGAGAACGAATTGTAATTACTCCCAATATGAAGGAAATACAATCTAGTCAATATGTTAAGTCCACCATGTAAAATGGAATCAATTTCCGTTACTATGGATGGGGATGTTGAGCTGAATCAAATTGAAACAAAATAGATCACTATGTATATCAAGAAAGAATACCTCAGGTATAGAAGGGATGTCAACATCCATTGGTACTGCTTCACTGTCCTCCTTCATAGCAACCACACTCTCTTGATTTTCCAAGGATGATAAAGTCAATCTCTTGTCTTTATGTATAATATACTCGACTGATCTCCAGAATTCATTAATCGCATTAGCAAGAACTCGTGCAACTCTTTCTTGCCTTTGCTTTATTCCTGCTAGTTGCAAAACAGAGGATTGACCTCTTTGTTCCGCAATCCATCGACAGAATTGTGTAGCCGAGGCCAATTTCCACAAACGCTCCTGCGATCAGAACAATACAACCATGCATTATATTCTTAAATCCGAACATGGTATAGCTTAAATTTAATTTGTGAGTTACAAAATGTGTTCTCCAACACATCCACGTAAAAAAAACAGGCATTGCCCACATAGAAACGCATGGTAGAGCAATAATACATAAGAGCAAGATAGCACTGTGTTGAGTAAAAAGACGAATTTAGAGGAAAGCACCATAACATGTATTTATTAGTTCACCATAAGTCAGAAAGATATACTATGAAACTACGAGGATTAACCTACAAACATCAACAAGATGTATCCACGAATATTAGACTGTCAAACATGTGGTGTCTTTGATTGGCTGGTAGATGTCTCACGGGGTATGTAGCTGATTTTACCTTTTGCGTGGCAATGAACTAAAACCACATCACACAAGAATTCTTCTCCATCCATTATCTGCCTTATAATTAGATGTGCTTACTGTTTTCAGACCTTTCAACCCCTTCCACTCGCCCTTGTAGGACTGACCCCTTAGAATATGGGCTTCTGACCTCAGACCTAATTGTCTCAAAAGCGATATGCTTCCATGCGTCCTTGGATCGTTTGTCTATCTCCAGTACACGGTTGATGTGAATCTGTACAGCAAGATCTGAGCGGGTCCGATTTTGAAGACCTGATCGCAGTGACTCTAAGCATCTACGGTGAAATCACAACATAGTTGTGCAGTCAAAGTGAGCGCGTGCAATACAGCGCATATAGTTAACATGTGAAGAGAGTGATTACAGTCGAGAAGATCTGGGGTTAAATACCCCACTCCAGGCGGTGAGCTAACTAAACTTAACTTAGCTACCCAGAGGTTAATTTGAAACACACGAGTGAAGCTCAACAATATTCACATGTTTTTTTTTGTTTTTCTGTGCGCTATTGACCAAATATTAGAAGATATCTCGCAGACACAACCTGATCAAAACTGATAAGGAAAACTCTATATTTACAACTGAAGGGTAATACCTCTACGATATGCATAAACAAAGGTCAATAAAAACGAAAGTTAGAAGTCGAGTTGTGTGTGAGGGAGAGAAAGTCTCTCGTAGCTGTTCCAGTGTAATCTGCATTAGAAGAGGACCGATGTAGATACAGTTCTGCACTTCTATCCGTGAGATGCATCATGGGATGAGAAGTGTATACGGCCGTTACTTCCACCGGAGTAAAGCCTGCACCACCGGAGTGTTGGGTACCAGCAAATGCTTTTGCTGGGACCCAACACGATTCATTTTACCAGATGGAATACCTACGTCCTTCCACCACGTCGAATAAGAACGAAGAACCAGTCTAGGAATAGGCTGGCTCAATATGACAGAATGAAGAATTTGCATTGCGTGGAAATCGATTCACTTTGGGTTACTTATAAGAGGTCAATCAACCACGCCAAAAGGGCACAGTGCTTGTAATCCCTGTATGAAAAGAGCGTATAACTATCTTGAGGTGCAGCAAAACCCGTCACAATTCAGTGATTCCTTAGCGTCATCACTGAACTTTGTTCACGATCAATTCAGTGAGCCTGACAGTAGTAGGAACGATAATCAAGCTTTGTGTAGCCATGGCAGAATCTTCCAGCATCCCCAGACGAAAGCTTGGGACCCAGGGGCTCCAGGAACTTTACTGAACTTACACGCAAAGCAGAGATTCCAGATTGAGGGTCTCGTCTGTGCAAGGAATGATCTCTTGATGAAGCCTCTGACGGATGCGATGGGAGCGTCGCTTGCATACAAGTAGAAACTGTGTTTGAAAGGATTCACAACCGATACACTAAGTAAGCTAACTTGCAGTGTAAACTTTCGACATCTTTGGATGTAGCTTCTTTCAGAAAATTGCGTTGCAATCATCAAACTCAAGACCATGATGCTGTTATGTTGGTATCATAACGTTGCAAACGAGATCGAAGTCCCCATGCGTATGTCTATCAGAAGGAATGTAGTTACTGTTACTGTCAAATTTATGTTGTGTACCGTTACCGCTTAACTTCGTGAGGACTTGAGGGACTTAAGTTAGGGGCTGTTTCTTTCAAAGGACTGGAGTCAAAGTTTCTGATTGATCCACCCACTGGTTGTACCTAACCCAGAACTCGTATTGGGTGACGGTGGGCTGCCGTCACCCGATACGTCACCCAATGCTGCATGGCCGTAGGGTGGTCCCATCTGGTAAAATGAATCGTGTTGTGTATCAGCAAGTCTTTTGTGTTCCGCAGGGGTCCCATCAAGTAATTTTCTCCCTTCCCAAAGTTGCATGAAACACAACTCTTGGACTCCACTAGCTACCCTAGAATCATGACCACATCAGCTGCATGGTCGTGACCAGGTCTATAAGGCTTGGGTGCAAGGATTACGAGCATCGATATCCAATGGATAAAAGCAACGGTGTCTGGCATAAAACACTTGACGTGCCTACCTTCAAGCGAGTGCGTTCAACGATTTTCCCCCATCCGGTCTCTGGTACAGCAGGATTGTAACAATGGTAATAAAAATGAGAAACTTTTTAGCAGTACCAGAAACTTTACCAAAACACTGGGAGCTACGATGTACATGATCAACCGCAAGGTTAACACGCAAGGAATACTCTTCTTCTTCTCTTTCCAAGAATTGTGTAAATTCCAACGCTTGGACTCCACTAGCAACGCTAAAATCATGAGCACATTGGCTACATGGCTCTGACCGTGTCTGATATGGCTCGGGCGCGACAATCAAAGCCATCAATATTACAATGGATAAAAGCAGAACTGTCTGGTGTGAAACTGTTGAAGTGTGTACTTTCAAGCGAATACGTTCAACGATGTTCAACCATCCCGTGTAGTACAGGAGACTGAAACAATGGTAAATATGATAAGATAAGCTTAGGATATACAGTTCCATAAACTTTACCAAAACACTAGGAGCTATCACGTGCATGATCAACCGCATGGTTCACAAGCAATTACTACTCATCTCCTACTCGTTCCAGGAGTAGGGTAAAACACAACTCTTGGACTCCACTAGCAACGCTGGATTCATGACCACAATTGTTACATAGCCGGGGGGTCGATAGGCTCGGGCGAGAAAAATACGGCCACCGATATCCGGTGGATGAAACCAGCTAAGGCTGGCGTTAAACAGCTAAATACAGTGACTATTTTCAAGTGAATACGTTCAACGATTTTGACAGAGTCCGTGTCTAGTACAGGACTGAAACAATGGTAATGAGAATGAGAAACTTTAATGACTTACAGTTCTGGACACTTTAACAAAACACTAGGAGTATTGACGTACATGATCATGCGCAAATGATCTTGATAGGGAGAGCTGTTGTCTTAGAACTCTAGAGTTCCCCTGTTAATTTTCTTTTACTAATTGTTTTGATATACAATACAATATTTGCCCAGCAATATCAAGTAAAGTTCTCAATGCGATTAGCGGGACTATGGTTGAAATATGTTCCACTCCATTAAATTCTGTTGTGAATACAACGACTGGATGCAACCTAGATGCAGCCCAAAGAAAAGATCTTTCATACACTGGAGTTCGATGGAGGTTGAGAGTACGCGACGCTAACTTGCCAATGGAAGAAAAATGTAAATCGATAGCTTGGTAGTCAGAAAATGTATGTGACTATGTAGTATCAATGACTAGTTAACATCAAACTTGTGGGATAAGAGAAAGTTCTTGCGCATGCTTAACGCAAAAGCGTACATGAACCATCCCAGTTCCAAAACGAGAGAGACTACTATAACACAATCAAAGGAAGAAATGCACCTGCATGAAGTCGTTAGCCATCCAAGCCATCTCCTGCAGCAAGTAATCCCAATGAGACTTTCGCCTTGCGGGTTCTAAATGAGGGCTCCGTTTGGCCCACTCCGCCGTGTCTTTCTTAGATTTCTGGGAAATATATCAAATCTGAACTCATTAGTAGTTGAGACTTGTACTGAAATCATAACTTGACAATTGAGAAGAAACCAGAAAGCGCCGAGCTTGAACCATGAACACTAGTTAGACCTTCAATGTATAAACTCATGAGGAAGAACACATCCACAGTACCTTGATAATTTCTGCCTCCTCTAAGATATAGTCTTCATGCGCCTTTCTCGCTTTCGCAGAAAGATCTGCTTTATGCCGTTCTGCTTCTGCTCTGACATTTGGGTCCCTTTCCTTCTCCCAGGGAAGCACAACACCAGGAAATTTGTTAATTGAGGCTGTGTTGGAATTTGGAGTGCGGAAACCAGCACGATTGGACCCTGCAGATACAGGAGTGGACTGACTTTCAGATTTAATCTCTTCCTGTGGTAAGGAGACCACACAGATGCTTTTCACATCATGTCCACTTTCAACTTGGGTATCCACAGTAGACAACCTTGTTCCAACTTCGGATAGACCTTCTTCAACCTTGACCTCCACTCGTGCATCAGAAGGCGGATCATCTATCCTTGCTTTATCGTTTTGTATAAGGTCTGGGGCACCACTGCTCGCTGTCGAGGTGGTCTTCCTGGAAATAATGCTCTTGTTTTCGGAGGTATCCAAACTTTTTGGGGTAAGTTGCATTGTACAGGATACTTCACGTAGTACAGATGTCTTATCATCAATAGTAGGTGTCAACATGGAGTCAGGACCGTGCTTGGTGATAATTGTACTTCTATCTATGACCCTATCACCCTTAGTTTCTGAAACTACTGTAGACTTATCTTTACATTCATTCTTTGATGTTCGAGAACCCAAGCTCTCATCCATGATCATAACGATGGCACTCTCATCCTCTACCATACTCGGGAGACCACAGGCCTTATCTGAAGCCGCTTGGTTGTTGCCTAGTACCTGTTCTGAAGGCTGTGACACAGCACCACCGTCCCTCGAATCTACATTTTTCTCCACATGTGGACTTAATGAAGTCTGATCCACCTTTTTCAAATCACCGACTACCACAAGCTCATCCTTTACAACAATTCCTGTACAAACATCTTCCCTTAAATCGCTGCTCCGTTGTAGAGAACCACAACTACTAGCAGCAAGATCATGAATCTGAAATTCCCTTCCTGTTTGAAGAGCGTCATCAGCTGCATGCACAGCTTTTACAGAATTCTGCTCAAACGACTTTCCTGTAGGTAAATGGGTAGCCTCCAAATCCTCAATCACCTTCGTAGTTACCGGCCCTAACTGAGTGCTAGCGTGAGAGTTATAGAGCAGTGTAGGAGCTGGTAGCACCTGCAATTTTTTATCCACCATGGTCTCATTTTCTTCAGTGACCTCTTCAAAAATCACAGGCGGTGCAGGTGATCCCTTGATTTCAATGGAAGGGAGTACACCAACCTCGCCCGCTTTTTCCACATCCCTTGTGGGTGTATGTCCATTACCGAAGCGGTTACTTCTTGGGCGATTTCTTCTGGAGTAAGCTTGACCCTTTACTGCAGCTCGGCCACCACCAGAGCCTTCACTCTCCCGTTTCAAGTTCACATCAGAATGAGATCGTAAAGAGGTGGATCCTGTTCTTGAAGCTCGACCTTTGCCTTCCCACGGGGTTAGTGGTTCAATGACAGCGCTCAAAAAATCTTCTCCAGGGCAGAGATCACCTCCACCTTCTGAGCTTCTTCCGACACAAAGACTAGTGCCCACGCTGTTTTCCACAGAATCGCCATTGGTAAGGGCTACTGATGCATGGCCACCCTCCCCCTCACTGCCAAAAAGACATATGTGAGGTCAATTCTGTCTTATGCACAATGTATAGGCAACACTTGTTTTCTTCACAACCATCGTCTGCAAAAACTACACGTAGACATAACCTGAACGGTACAACGAGGCCCTTTGATTTGACAGTAACTTGGGCTCGAATGAACACTTTTGAACAGATCAATTCACAAATACACCTCAACAGTCAACGTCGAAAATACATAGGCAGTCAATAGTGAAAGTTCTACACTCTTCTAGTGCTCTTAAAAATTTCCATCTTCATAAGCAATCCAAGTCATGTAAGAACCTTGACAGCAACTGGTCAGCCAGTGGATCGGTCGGTGAAGAAGGTGGGAGTGCAAAATTTGCAGCACTGAAAAAATCCAGGAGTTCACCTCCCTGCACGAATAAGCTTATTGAGAACATAAGCAGAAAGAAAAGCAAACAAAATGGATACAGAAAACAACGTATTCAGATTCCACTTTTGAACAGCCTGTGCAACTTAAAACACTAGTGATGACACTAAACCATCAAGATCTACCTCTCTGTAATTTGCAAGTTGAGCTAAATACATGCACTTAATTATATTTTTTAAAAATCTAAACATTTGAAACTTCTTCGTTCAAAAAACTAAGCAAGCTACAATACAGTAAACATACCTTCTCCAGAAACTCTAATTCCCTTCGCCGCTCTTCTCGCACAGCAACCTCTCGTCTGTGACCAACCAAAGACCAAGAGGTTACTTTCTAAGTGAAATGCAAGTAAAGCAATTGAAATTGCCGAGTGTTCCATAGTACAGTGATACAACGCCCAACCTGAGTTCTGCTTGTGCTTTCTCAATGGCTGCTCGTCGTGGAGAAGGTTCGTTTTCTATGGCGGCTGCAGCACCAGCTCCTGCGCCCATGGAACCCTGCTCTGCATTGACTATGTAAGCTGACCCTGGCTCTACTCCAGGGTCTCCACTTGCTCGAGGTCCCAGCTCTGAAAACAAATCCCACGTTCTCGCCAAGAAAATCTCCCGTCAAAATCTCCTCTACAACCTCTCACGGAATTTTTTACCTGCCAAATTGCACAAATCCACAGAGTCGTAACCAAGCGAGAAAAACGTCGGGGAAAAATAATACGAAAACAAATACCCCAAAAAAAACAGTATTGTTTCTAGCGAATTTATCGCGTTAGAAAGGGTCAGTGCTTTTCGATCGATCAAACTCACTCTTCGCAAGCGAAAATATAGCACTCACATATTTTGCAAACAAAGCCTTTTCCTATCTCTCTGCGAACCCTAAATTCATACCTCTCACAAGTGAGCTGAAAACCGCATCTCTGCCCGAGGTGACCCACACAAGAAACCTCGTTCTCTGCACGTACGACGGGCCACAGTACGGGACAGGTCGTCGCACAAATCACCACCATTCTCGTCGTCCAAGTCAATCATAAAATCCTCCGTCACCACTTCATTCATTCCGCTCGAATTCGCGACATCGATCTAAAATTTTCCAATCTCACGCGACGTGGTCAATCTTCGAAATTTGCAGCCCTATAAATAATTAATCCTTCGGGGACAAATTGTTCGTAGCTATGTAATATGTATGTGTATGCATGCTAGTGAAAACTTTGCACACTTTGCTGATTTGCAATCAATGCGTGGGTTTCGGTGTATCGAGGGTTGGCTCGGCTGCTGTCGTTCGTGACCCTGGCCCCTGATGTGAGCCTCGTCGTCCAGACCCGTCCCGTCGTCGCCTGCTGGTGTCGTGGGACTCGGAACCGCACTTCGCTATCCCCTCGAACCGCTGTCCCTGTACCATGTCCCCGACTCGGTCCGTCCCTCATTTCTGGTCCTCCCGTGGTCTCTCACACATCGACCCCACACTTCCGTCCAACGTCCCGGTCATCTGGTCCCCATCCCTCTCCTTCCTTATCCGCCCCTGTTCCTCACGGGGACTGGACTGAGCAACACTGAATTCGCATCGTCATATGCACCTGTGCATGTTTACATAAGCTTCTTCTGCCAAGACGATTCCATTGTTTCAACATGGCAACCTTTACTTTCTTCTTCACATGAATGATTTGGATGGCCTATCAGCATTCAGATCCTTTGATCCGGACAACTATACGTCCCGTTCCCCATTGCTCTCGACTAGAGTAGAGACACTCTTTCCCGCCCTGCGAACTTCGGAAACAATTCAGGGACATTGTTACGTGGGCGTCATCCTTCCTCTTTCACGACTCGCAAGTATGCAACCAAGTCTTGGATCCAAAATGGGCTAACAGCATATTTCAGATACCGCTTCGTATTATCTCGGTAGGTAAATATTCACTCGAAATCGCTTCAAAAGATTATGATTGGATTATTCTGTATGCATTTACTTCTGTTACGTTTGGAACATGTTGAGTATATCGATACCTTCTTTTATCCTGATGTCTCGACAATATCATGGAAATGTTAAGTATTCCAATTCGATATTATTTCCTGTCTTTTCCAGACAATATTTTCAGGTTCACATTGATCCAGAGGCTTGTAAGCTGCATGACGAATTTTACGGTGGATTTTGATTATCACTCGATAGGTTTGCGCATGATCCATTTACGAGCTAGGGTTCTTTCAAAGTTCACAACGAGTACTGATTTATAGTAGAGAATATAGTTCTGGATAATGAGGTCTCACCTTAATGTAGAGGTTGTTCATGTGCACATGGGCTCCTCTGCAATAGCAAATGATTTAGAACACACAAGTTCGGACTAGTTACATGATAATTCTCATGCAGCTTGATTAATTGTTGCATGATCTTGAGAAAAGATATGGAGTATAGCAAGACCCTTTATCCTTTTTACATGGCTAGTCCAAGTAAGAATATAATTTCTGCTTTGGCTATTTCTTGGAATATTAGCTAGATAGATGATATATATATATTTGGCCATATGTCCGAACTTTCATGCTCTATTCCATGACAATCTTCAGAGTTAAAATCTTCAAATGGTTAAAAATCATCTCTAAGATGATTGATGATCCCTCAAATGATTCAAATAGTTCAGAAATTTTATTTGTTTTAATAACATAATTTGAATCAAATATATATTTTTAAATGATGAATAATATAATGAAATGATTAAATTTTATCGAAGAATTTTTTTCCCAACCTATCATTTCATTTTTGGCCTTGCAAAACTAATTTTTATATGAATAACATCTTTTTTCACATCAATATAAAATTCTCATCTAATATCGTGAGCCAATTTTGATAGTTCTAGACATTTTTTATATAAATCTTGAAACAAATGTGTTTAATGGACATGATTACTTCTATAATAACACGTCTAATGCAAATCATGAATAAATAAAGATTGCATATTCCAGTAAACATGTATTAAATTTTATTTGTTTTATTTTCATTATTTTTATATGGATTTTATTAAACTTCTTTTCATCATCATGTGTTTAATTTGGCTGTTAAAAATCCAAAAATCAGAAAAAAAAAACCCTTCAGATCGTAATAAACTATCAATCTAATGTTGTAGTTACATTAACTTTTGAGTTTTTCCAGCAAATGAAACACGAAGGATTCTTCAGTAGTCATGCGAATTACGTTGTGAGGCGAATTGATAACTTCATTCTCAAACTTAATCTTGTAATTTTAAAAATCAACATTTCAAATTATTAAACTTGAAAAAATTAAAATTAAAATTTGCAGCTTGCAAAATTTTATATGAAAGTGACAAGTAGACAACCTAGATTTGAATATTTGGTAGAATCTTGCGACTTTATGACGTACATGTTTCACATATATTTCAAATTTAATTTTTATTGATAATTTTTGTGATTTTTTTGAAATAATAATCAAATTTTAGTACATTTATATTTTTGAGATTATTATGGGTTTTTTCCATTTTATGTCTTTCATTACATTCTTGTCTTAATGTCAAGAGTTTGATGATAAGCTTATTCCAAAAAATAATTAATATCATACTATTATAACTAATTTTTGTATTCATTTTTTCCCAATATTATTTTATTATTTTTAAATTGATATATTTTATTGAAATTTGAATCATTTTATAATCTCATCAGATTTGAAATATTCAAATATATCACACCAGATTTGACATAGGAAGCCACATCTATGTTGATGACATTTGGAGTAGTGGATCCATAATTCATGATCTGATTTTGTCTTGAATTTTTACAATTATTTTTGTATATATCATGATATGTTATATATAAAAAAAATTATTTATTGTCAACTTGTTATATTGTATAGATGTAGATAAATCTAGTATTACTTCGCTATGGTTAGGGGGCGCTTTTCAGCTCTACCTGTCTTGGAGACCGATTTGGACTCAGACTCGTATGAACCCTCCCTCAGTTTACGCCCTGTTTCATGAAACCACTTGAGTCTAGTACCGGGCGAAGCCTCTCGACGAAGGACTTTTATGTCTTATGTGAGAATTGAATGAATCACACATTGCATACTTGAGTTTTATTAATATTTTATTTTACAATAATGTATATTTTTTATTTTATTTTCATTCGTTTAAAAATATCTTATATGCAATTGAATTTTACATGATGTTATGCTCATTTGAAGATTATAATGTAAATATCAATATTATAGTTGGATATGTTATGTTTGTCATAAACTATGAAAATATATGTTGCCTGTGAAAAAGAAATTCACATGTATTTTAATTAAATTGGAACTTAAAAACACATATAATTTTTCAAACAAGATGTTTCATTACTACAATTTCTTTATTAAAATATTCTACATATGATATAGTTGATCAAAATAAATTCATAAATAGAAACTACAAACATCTATATGGAGTTTTTTAATACAATGATATTAATCATCATGTTTATTATTGTTCAAATAACATCAAAAAAATATTTTTTTACACTGTAAAACAATCAAAATGCACATGAGCATACCAACAAGAGATCTCACATGCACAATCGCATACAGTGAACGAGTGTGATTCATTATTGCATTCTAAGTCCACATAACACCTTAAGTCTCTTATATATCGGAAGTTTAATTATCTTCACTTACTTGGATTTATCTAACTTGAGTGACAAGAAGAACCTGAGCTAACTTTTAACAACATTCCTATTAACTCATGTTTTGTGAATAGCATAATATGTAAGGGGTTATATAATTATTATGTGTAAAATTATAGAATTGAACTAAAATTATTGCTTGTTAAATTATAGCTAATGAGTATTTTTTAAATCAAAACATTACATAATTAAAAATACATATATATTGTAAAATTGCTAGTAAATTGTTCTACTCATGCGAAACTTGAGAAGAAGCATATGATATTTTAAAACTCTTCAAAGTAATACTGTGATTCAACACATTGACAAGATTAAGTTAAAAGTCAAATTTTACTACTGTAATGTTCTTATTAAAAACAACATCTCTCATATGGTTATAAATGATGTTGATGTGTAACATTAAATTTATCACAATGAAGATTAATTACCTTTCGATTTTAATCACATCTTAATGAAAAGTTTCTTCAACCAGGTAGTTCTTTTTGTTTCTTTTGTTGATTATATTTATTTAGTTTGAGTTGAAGGATAGAGCTACACAATTTTGCAAAGAAAATTTACAACTAATGTGTTTATACTCTAGTGTAAACAAAAACTAAATTGTAAATTTTTTATTGGTTAGATCTTGTACATAGTCAGCATAAACCTAGCAAGGCTTTTCCATTGTATAATAAGACATAAAACAAAATATCATAAAATGTAAAACTTGCGAGGTACATGAAAATCATTTCCACTTACACTGTTTTTCATATGCTACTTTTTAAAATAAATATAAGTCTTTAATTCACTAGCAGATCCAAGAAATAACAGTTCTATAATGTAGCATACAATATGTTGTTATTTAATCTAAATATGAAATTATAAGGTGTACAACCAAAAGTTATCAATTGATTATAATCAAGCATATGTTTTTATATTAATTAAAAAAAAATAGCACTTTGATGTTTATTTGTGAACAAATATACTACAATATTGATAACTTGAGCCCAAATTTATAGGTTAAACTATATTGATTCAACATATTATGCATTCTATCCAATATTTTTTGATTAAATAGAAAAAATTATTTTGCAACATTTTAATTCAATAAATAGCTAAGTAATACTCTCTTCCTTGCAATTAGTTTCTAAATCTTCTAATATATATTTTTTGCCATTACTCATATTTGTATATCTCACATTGTATCCAATCTAGGTCTCAAATTTGACTTTCAAATTGATAAAAATTGTAAAAGCCTCGGATTTTTGTGCGAAAACATAAATTTACACAAATTTTAAGTGATCATCACCAAATAATATTTATTATAATTTTAAGAAGATTTTGGAGGTTTTTTTTTCAATTCAATCAAGCTTGTTTAACCAAATAGCTTACTTTGCCGCTTAAACCGTAGTCACATACTCAGCTTCTACGCACTTCTGTCAGGAAGATCTCCAACTAATGCTTTCTTCATCAAATGTAAACACATATCAACTTGCAGATTTTTAAACATCAACATAGCTTAACAAGGATTTGCCATCCTTGAATGGATCATCAAACAATAAGTCATAATCCTTAGTATTCTTCAATGCTTTCTAGTGAACCTTCCATGGATTTGACATGAACCTGCTCATCATGCCCATCGTCAAAGCAATATCAGGCATAGTGCACACAATTCAATACATGAGTCTACTAAAAACTTGTTCATAGGAAACACATGACAATTTTACTTTCTCAATGACATCTATAA